GTGGTGGGGAGGAGGGATGGACTGCTTAGCCTGTCCAGTGGAGACCTTCAGTTGCACATCACAGTTTTGTCCAGTTTGGAAAATCAAGGCTGGTCCTTGGGTTCATTTGGGATCAGGATGGTTTTCATTTGCAGTATTATGGGGCTCCTCTTTAGGTGGCAACGGGGAGAGGGAAGAGGAGTGAGGGGACGGGAGCAGGGGAGGGAGACTGCCAGAGAAGGTCTCGGAAAAGACGGGGTTCATTAGAATCTCAGAACTGAGTCACCAAGTTCCCTCTGTTGGAGCCCAGTGGAGCCTCTGGGAGAAAAGCTGGGGTGACTTTTCCTACAAGGGGCAGATGGATTCTGCCAGATTTTTTTTTTTTCTCATTTGTTTTTAATTTTGTAACATGGAAACTCTTTCCTTAGGAGATACCAACTCTCATTACTGAGATAGGAATTATACCTCTTTAAAGCCCAAATTTAAAAGTCTGACAGTTTTAAATGCTTACTAACTGTGGGAGTTAAATCATTACAAAGCGAGAAATACAGTGTTGTCCCTAATTTTGGGTTTAATCCGGTAAGACTCTTTACAGAGGACGACCACACGCCGCTTCCTGTTGTATGTGTCGTGGTCGTAATTCTCTTGTGTGCGTATTAAGAAGTTGCTGCTCAAATGTGGCTCTTCCCTTTGCAGAGGCTGGGGCCTTCGACCGCCTCCCGGATCTCCCCGCCGCAGCCTCCTCAGAAGACATCGAGCGGTCCTGAGTGCCTCCTGGGCGTCTTTGTCTGTGTGTTGCAATCTAAAGTCAAACCTTAAGATGATGGATAATCTTAGGCCAATTTACACAGAGTCGGCTCTTCTTGTTCTCTTTGCCTTGATGTTGTGTTGTCACAATTTAAGAATTTTTTTTTTTGGTAATTATTTTATTTTGAGTGACAAAATAAAGAATAGCAATTACTTGCAATTGTCTTTTTCTTCCACACCTCTGTCTCATCACCAGTGCCACCCATGGGTTCTAAAAGATAAAGCTTGATCATAATCATGGATTAGACCTGAATTTTTAAACCCACATTCTACCATCAAGAGCATCTGAGACGCCACCTCTTATTGCATGTCCAGGGGACATAAAGTTATCTCGATATTAAGCTGAGTCAAATGTAATTATGAAGGTAAGTCTGTTTCTGAGATGAACAAAAACACAAAACAGACAAAACCCCTGCCCTCGTGGAGCTGATATTTTAGGGAGATGGGAATGAAAAAGACTATGACAACCTTAAACAGATGGGTGAGGTGCGTGGTGCTCGTGGAGGTGGTCAGGGCTGAGAAGAGAGGTTGGCTGGGTGGGAGGGCCAGGAGTGAGGGCCAGGAGCCAGGTAGGAGAGGAGAGATGGGCGGGCAGGTAGGAAGGCAAGGGCAGGAGGTGTGTGCTGAGATAGTGCTGTGTGAAGGAAGGCATGTGGGAATGCCTCCTAACATGACAGAGACTGAGTCTTTTTTTTTTTTTTTTTTTTTGAGACGGAGTCTCGCTCTGTCGCCCAGGCTGGAGTGCAGTGGCCGGATCTCAGCTCACTGCAAGCTCGCCTCCTGGGTTTACGCCATTCTCCTGTCTCAGCCTCCCGAGTAGCTGGGACTATAAGCGCCGCCACCTCGCCCGGCTAGTTTTTTGTATTTTTAGTAGAGACGGGGTTTCACCGTGTTAGCCAGGATGGTCTCGATCTCCTGACCTCGTGATCCGCCCGTCTCGGCCTCCCAAAGTGCTAGGATTACAGGCTTGAGCCACCGTGCCTGGCCGAGACTGAGTCTTTTGAGCAGAGATAAAAAGATCATCCAGAAGTTTTGAAAAGAAGGCAGGAGGCTGGGCGCGGTGGCTCATGCCTGTAATCCCAGCACTTTGGGAGGCCGAGGTGGGCAGATCACTTGAGGTCAGGAGTTTGTGACCAGCTTGGCCAACGTGGTGAAACCCCATCTCTACTAAAAATACAAAAATCAGCTGGGCATGGTGTGCATGCTTGTAATCCCAGCTACTCGGGAGGTGGAGGTTGGAGAATCTTTTGCTCCTGGGAGGCGGAGGTTGCAGTGAGCCGAGATCACGCCCCAGCCTGGGCGACAGAGCGAGACTCCGCAATGTGGGAGGCGGGACACAGGCCTTTCTGGATTCACCGGAGCCGGCTGTGCAGTGGGAGGTGGCTTCCCAGTTTCCCTCCATTGGCAGTTTGCTGCCTAATACCTGTTTCAAGGGGCACAGAGCCCCAGCATCCCTCTCCCTGCTTGGTGACCCCCCACCCAGTCAGCTGTGCCCCGGCTCAGCTCCCTGGCTTGGCTTCCCAGCTCAGGCCCCCAGCTCCACCCTGGCTCCCTCCTGCTCCTGCAGGCTCAACGCTGACACTCAGTGGCCTTGGGTCTTCAGACCACTCCCAGCCCGCAGGTAGTGATGCCACCCACCTGGTGGGCTAAACACCTGGGCCCACCCTTCACTCCCTGTTCACCATCCGCATTTATCCTCTTCCACATTTTTTAAAATCTCTTTAGTTTTCCAACTTGGGCAGGCATCAGAACTCCTCCAGGCCCTGTCATAAGGCAGTGGCCAGGTCCCTCCCCAGGGTGTTGGAGCCAGGAGGGCTGAGTGGGCTGGAGCTGGGCCCCCAGCAAGCTTCCTGCCGCTGCTGCTGCTCACTAGAGGCCTGTGCCCACGTCCTCCCAAGAACTAGGGAGCTCCTGGCATGGAGGAGGCGGATGAACAGATGTGTCTGGGGACCACACCTCAGCCACTGGGCTCCAGCCCACAGTGTGCAGCCTGTCCTGTCTGGTCTTCCTGTAGCCTTTGTCCCTAAATGCAGTGGCCATGGACACCATCTCTGCCTCAGCCGGCCCCCTAGCCTCCTGCACTCAGTGGTGCAGACCCCACAACTGCGGCCTGGCCTCGCTCACCTAAGGCCTTTGCACACGTCCCTCCCAAGGCTTGGGGAACTCCTAAGCATCCCATGGGATTCCACTCCAGGGTTACCTTGTCCAGAGTGCCCTTCCCGCTCCTCCGCCCCCAGCATGTGCGGTGCCACCCTAATCAGCATGCCTGTCACTCTGTTTGCAGATGTGTCTCTCCTCACTACACCGTGAGAAAGAAGTGCCTGAAGGAATTGAGATTAATGACGCTGTGCTGAGTGCTGGGCTCTCCACACTGCACGTGGCTCACAGGAGCCTTCTGAGAAGTGTTCACAAAGGGCCAAGGAGCCCAGCCTCCGTGCAGGTGTGCAGCCTCCATGCAGGGATGCGGGCCCCAGGGTCGGCAGCACAAAGCTCTCGGACTCTCCCCCTGTGGCATCATCTACCTCCTTCTCTAAACCTTGCCTTCCTTTTAGGTATAAATGGAGCGGCGCAGGTGGCAGCCGGAAGGTGAGGGAAAGGAGGTGAGGGACCAGGAGTGGCTGTAGTGCCATTTGCTGTGATGGACAAGGCTACAGAAGTGACGTCTTTACTTCCCAGAGAGAACGTGGTTGGAGCTGGCTGCAGCCATCCTGGATCAATCTGTTGCTAACAACAGCAGTCTTTTCAAGGGAAGGTGTTCTCCAGCCACCTTGGGAAGTAAAGAATTTATGGACAGGCCTGAGAAACACCAAGATGCCTAATGGAGAGGTGGAGAGTGTTGAGGTTGTGCACCTTGGAGGAGGTGGCTGTCTCCATCATAAAAGCTGATCAACATGAAAGCGTGTCCACCTTCTACTTGCTCTATCTAACCAGGAGCAGAGCAGATGCCAGGGTGATGCTGCCTGAGGACGTCTGGCGTGGTGGAGGCAGGTGAGTGGTGGGCCAGTGTGAGGAAGAGGCTTACATTCAGGAGGTCCCTGGAGGAAGGAGGAAAGCGCTGTTTAATGGAGGAAAGAGAGGCAGGGCACGGTGGCTCACGCCTGTAATCCCATCACTTTGGGAGACCAGCCTGGGCAACATGGTGAGACCCTGTCTGTAAAAAAGAAGTAATTAAAAAAATTTTAATTATTAAAACACAGGAGGGAAGAGAGAGTCTTATGGGGATAAGGAAATCCTAACGCCAAAGAATTTACAGCTGATCATTTTCTAACATATGGCCCAGGAAACTTATTTCAATGCAAAAAAAGGGATTCTTGTACAGTTTGGAGTCAGGATTGTAAGCCTACAATAAAATTCTAAGCTCCCTAACTGACTGAATGGATCCCTCTCTTGGCCAAGAGGACCCCAAAGAAGCCTAAGAAAATTAGGTCATGACGGGAAGGGAGGGGCCACACATGCTCAATATGCCGCTTCCCCATGGAGTTTAGACACAGCTGACCAGGGACCAGCATTCACATTACAACAGAGATCTTGAGACTGACAAATCAGCCTCTTTTCAGCAATAAGATACCAACTTCCAGCCTGATTCTGGTATAGCACCACATGACAGATAACAAGCCCTGAAGGAAATGAAAGTAATTCAGCCCCACATATATTTCTTTGACATATTCCGAAATGGCCCTGCAGAGCTGACTCTTGTGGGGGAAATTTGCATTCTGTAGAGAATCTCCTTCCTAGTCTGACACCTTTCTAAGGTCTGGTAAGAGACATTCACCTGAATGTCTATTCTCTCCGAAGTCTGCTACCTGGAGGTTTCATCTACATAACAAGAACCTTGCCTTCCACAACCACCCACTCCCACCTCCATCTACCTTCCCTTAATTCAAGTTGACTTCAACTCTTCAGAAGGGCTTAACTCTTTCAACCAATTGCCAATCACGAAACATTTGAATACACCCATGACCTACAAGCTCCCTACCCTACCCCACTCATTGAGATGCTCCACCGTTCTGGGTCAAACCAATGTATACCTTATATGTATTGATTTGTGTCTTTGCCTGTAACTTCTGTCTCCATAGAACGTATAAAACCAAGCTGTAACTCAGCCACCTTGGGCATATATTCTTAGGACCTCCTGAGGCTGTGTCACGAGCCATGGTCCTTAACTTGGCAAAATAAACCTCTAACTTGATTGAGATCTGTCTTGATACTTTTTAGTTTATAGGATTTTATCCTGTGTTATTGTGATAAAAACTAAGATGGCTCTAGAAACCAGAAAGCTTGACAGTCTCTGATATAACTTTAAAAAAAAAGATCAGTGATGTCTGCTTCCAGGAGATGGAGTAGAAGTAGAATTTTCCTTTGTCCTTTTGCTAAGTACAATTAAAAACCCTGAACATCATATATAAAGCAAACATAAGAGGACTCTGAAAGCCCAAGCAAGAGGCAGACCAGCTGGGAACTTCAGCCCGTGGTGAGTTCCTTGGGTTTTCTTTTTGCCTCACATATCCTAGACTTGGGCTGAAGGAGCCAGCATCTTAGAAATGCCAACGGGCACAGACCACAAAAGCCCCAACAAAAGCTGCCCTCTCTAGATAAAGGACCAGGAAAGGGAAGCCTGATAAGACAGAGAATTGTAGATAACGACCACTCTACTTCAGACAAACACCCCAGCAAACACTGTGGCTTCATCAGGCCAGCCAAGGTTGGGTGGGGAGCCTGGACTTCCTCTTAAGGCTGTGACAAGGTGGCCCAAACTCCAACCAGGGGAAAGTTGTAAGGTGCCAAGTAAAGAACCAGGACTTCATCCCCCTCAACCACCCCATCCCTGGCAGTAATAAGACCCCCACTACAGTGTCAGCAGAGACCGCCTGGGAGCCTGGATTCCGTGCCCCTCCTCTCCCACAGTAACAGGCATTCTTCTCTGTGTGCATTGGGGTGGTGTCAGAGGAAGGCTAGTGGAGAATCGGCACTTTTGCCACCTCCCAGTGTGACAAGGCCACCCCCTTTTCCTGTGGTGTCAGCAGAGACCATGTGGAGGGGTGCAGTAAGAAGGCGCTCCTACCCCTCCCAGCAAGGGAAGTATTAGTGGGGAGCTGGAACTCCCACTCCTGCCCAGCAATAATGAGGAGCAGCCCACCCATGCCCAGGTGTCA